ATTTCGCTTGCGCATTATCTTCACTGTTCTTAAATTTACGACCATCTCCACATTTGTCACACCTCAGAACTCTTACAGCCAATCTTGATTTTATCTGGTAGTACAAAGATCTGGAACGCTGGTAGCGCTGACAAACTTTGTGCTCTGTGCTATGTTTCTTGTTACTGACAACATATGTGGTAATAAACTTGATTGCATTGTGCACGCTGACACCTGGCTTGACAGGACAGGTAGAAAACAGCTGACTGAAACAGTGCCTGATGATTTAAAATTTTCACGTTGCACAATAAGCAGCAGAAAGGGGGCGGGGATTACTCCTCACTGTGCCGACTTCTTAACATGTAATACCTTGAGGATTTCTCAACTTTTGAACTATGATACTTTCTACCTTTGCCACTTACGTCGAGCTAAAATTTGATGAGTTATTTTCCATCGAGTGTGACTGTTTTCTTATTTCTGGCAGCTTCATTATTCATAATGACAATCCCACTAACTCATAAGTCTGTTAATGTGCTGCAAACATTTTGGATTTTTACACCATGTTGTGCAGATTGTTTTTAAGATAGTGTCACATCTCTGCAGTGATAAATGACAATGCCTACTTTCTGCTCTCCATAACTGAAAACCTGCTGAATCCCACCAGATCATTTAGACCGCCTCTCTTCGAGACATTTAACTCCACTTTATTGTTTACCACCCAAACTTCCACTGACCATTGTTCCTTATTTAGCATTCCAGAGAACTTTCTGGTTGATGAATCAGCTGCATATGTTGTAGAGTCATCAGAAAACAGCAATTTCTGCCTTGAGGTACTAGAAACATGTCTTGTTTTTCTTTTAAAGACAACGTTCTGCCTTCTATTTGTCGGTTTCCAATCAGTGAAACTGCAGTTGTCCAACCTTTAAAAAAAAAACAAAACACATCTGCTCTTACATACATAGATCCAGTATTACACTCTTACCTTTTTGGAAAGATCATCCATATATAAATAGAAGGTGATCCACCTTGTTGAAACCCACTGGTCACTAGGAAGGGCGCAGATATCCCCCTACCCCATCTGGCTCACATGGTTTGATGGTTTGATGTAAGTACCAATAATATAAAATCCTCATCTGATATTAGAATGTACCATTATTAACTCAACCAAAAGCTTTGAACAGATTCAGAAAACGTATGAACAAATGTTTGCTTATAAAGACCATCATGGCAGTCGTGAGTCTCCAGTGACTCCTTCAACTCTTCATTTTCTATGAAGCACATCATCTCTGTCACAAAGAAAATGCTTCTTTTATATACGTCTTCTGGAAATATGACTACATTTGCTGCGTCAAAATATACATCAAACAACTGGACTTACAAGAATCATATGAATCTATGAAACATGGTCTTTACAGTGTTTTTAATCGTGAAAAAAAAGTTCACAGACACTTGTGGTGTTCTGTCATTTTCTATAACTTATTAGGAACTTCCTTTAGTGCCGTGCCATGTTTATTTTTAAACCCATTGTCAGAAGGTATTATGTGTTCTTGAAGCCTTTCCCGGAGAATTCTTTGTAATACTTTGGAAAGTCTGCTAGCCAGGGCAACTGGCCTGAACTTTTCAATGCTGGATATTTTTACCAGTCTTGTCTCGTCTTGTCTCTGACTAATGGAGCCGATAAACAGAAGAGTCGGGTGGTGCGCCGTGCAGTAACTGTCCAGAGCAAAAGCAACACACGACTTTGCATACCTCAGACGTTTTGCTGTTTATTTGGTGACAGCCACATGCTTTGATTACTGCCAGTTTCTCAGTTGTAGAGCAAATAAAAAAACATTCCTATAATGTTTTCTCCTCAGTTCAGCAAGACTTTCATGCCCAGTAACACCATCGATACTGGATGCCAAGCACATCTGACTGTTGTTAATAACTCTAACTCCTTTCCAGGGTTTATAAATGTTATTCTGCTGAAGCTTTTTGGCCATAGTTTGCTCTCATGGGTCTTATTTCTTTTATCAAAGCGAACATCATATTCAAAGCTATGCTCACTAGTGCACCACATATGTATAAATCCAATAAATAATGTCACCAGCAAATGCATCATTTCCTCTTGTTTAGGTAACAGTAGGTATTACATGGTGCCTCCTGAAAATGGTAATAACAGCTCTATAGATGATACTTTAATCTTGAGCAGGCGTAGTATGTGTAGTTGATTATACTACTGTAGTTTTAATGAAATAAACTTTCGAGTGTAGCATTTTCCATTGCAGAGCAGTGTTTTTATTTTGTGGTAGTGCTAGATTTACTCTAGCCGAGGCTTTTAATACGTCTTGTCAGTAAGTCATCAAATGTTTTTATTTAATATATTCAGATAATCAGTCACTCAACGCCGCATTTGAGTGGAAGAAGCCGTGTGTTCTCTTCGGTCCTTTTGGATTTCTGACTCACCACTGCAGAGTCTGGTTCTCTGGATCCAACTCCAGACTGTGCTTTCCATTTGTAACCGCACTGTTCTGGATAGTATAAATGCAGAGACGTTCAGTAGGGGGTGTCCATGCAGCTGGTGGTCATGAATACACAAAACCCAAAACATTACGCTTTATTTCTCTGTTGTTCATTTATACATTTTGCCAACAAGTTCCCATCTTGAACAACACTTTTTTCTTTTTTTACTTCCCCAAGTGGCTTTTTCAGCTCCCTAGACAATTCTATCAGTCGTAAATTCATGCGTTCCTCACCCTTCCTTCCTGAACTATCATTTTAGCTGAGCTATTGAAGCGTACCTTTCTCCTTTTAAGCTGCTTTTATTACATGCATAAATATATACCCCTCATCTTGCCGCATATTTGCATAACTCTGACCTTGTCCTCTTTTTTTTAGTCATCAAAATTTATATCGTCATCTACATCTACTACCTGTGTTGCCATCCCCAAAACCGGTTTATGCCAGAAAAGAAAAGATATTAATGTTTATGGTCGGCTCTCTCTTCCACAAAGACATCCGACCCCTTTGCCTTGGGATTGCCTTTGTCAGGATCCTCTGTTGTCATGATAGTTTATGGGCCTGTCGGACACGGGGGCTCCTAGCTAGACAATCCAAAATCCATTTTGTTTTTATACATCGATAGTTTGCCATATTACAGCTTCACATTTTGCATATGGACTTTATTAACATTAAAAAAAATGTACCTGGACAACTCACTACCTCTGAATCAAGAAAGTGAGATATCTTGAGACATGCCACAGATTTGTCGTTTGCTGTAATATATTGTATTGCTGCATTGTGTTTTCTGGTAGTTTGTATAACATTTGCCCGTTATTTACTGTAGTAGGCAGCTTTGGAGACAATCTGTCTTCAAAATACATGTGCATTTTAGGTAAGAATCTCGTATTTCTGCTGAATAGTGATAGAAAAATCCTACAAAAACACATGTTGTCGACTTAATGAACAAGGTTAAGAGATTTCCCCGTATTGTCGAGCATGACCGTTATCTTTAATGAGATGCTGTTATTACCAAGAGTGTGCTGGGAGACGGAGCAGGGTGCATTTGTGATCAGAAACTATAACTCCAGGTCGCCATATTTCTAAATGGAATACAAAGTAAACAAAAGTTGGAGCAGAACAGCTTGGCACTGAGATATTAACGTAGGATTTTATTCTGAAAAAGTTACGGTACGTCACATGGAGGAGTGGAAGAGGACTCCAGTGGCAGCCTGTGAAGCTCTGGTGAACTCCAAGAGGGTTGAGGCAGTGCTGGATAATAATGGCGGCCGCACAACATATTGACACTTTGGGCCCGATTTGGACATTTTGACTTAGGGGTGTACTCACTTTTTAGACATTAATGGCTGTGTATTGAGTTATTTTGAGGGGACAGTAAATTTACACTGTTGTACACTGACTACTTTACATGGTAGCAAAGTGTCATTTCTTTCGTGTCGTCCCATGAAAAGATATAATTAAATATTTGCAGGAATGTGGCATACTGTACGTGAAATACTAATGGAAATGTGATTGACTTATGGACTTATTTAACGGTCTCAGATGTCACAAGATAAAATTACCTTTATTGAGAGAGGTTTGGACCGTCTCCAGGGAAACAGTGATACAGGTTTTGAATATTTGCTGTGATGTAGTTGCTAACAAACAAGCCGCTGCTAATGTCTAAATGCCTAGCTACTATTAACCACCGAGTCCAAGAATGAATACGATTTGCTACCTGCATTCCTTTGGTTTCACATCCAATGCGATCCGCACAGTGTTCTTGTTCTTTGAGTGCTCTTTGCTTGAACTTGTCAAGCTGCTACTTGATCTAGAACCCAAAACCTGAGGGTGGGGCAACAAAGACATTTCCTACAGTTATATTGCTCAAGAGCCAGATTGATAGACATTCTGCCTGCTCTGACTCTAACGCTGGCATCGCAGGTCTTTCTCTCACCAGCGGACAAAAGCGATAATGGGCACAGCAAGTAGAAAATGGCACTTTGCATCAGTGTGAAGACAAAAGGGCGTGTCAGTCAGAGGACAGTTGGAGGATTGCTTAACAGGATATCCTGCAGCAGCAGTTGGTCTCTTGTGTGCACCCGACGCTTCTTGTTTACAGTGTAATGAAATCCTGCTGATTTCTTTTCATTTCAGATGCATTTTAGCGCCGCAACATGTCAGGCAGCTTGCACACGTTTTCACCAGTCACTTCACCTCACTGCCTGTGGATCTGCAGCGTTGGATGAAATTCAAAGTTTATTCATGTGTTGTTAGTTTAACTTAACGATTATGTGCTACGTAGAGGATTTTATTTTCTTAGTGGATCCAAATTTAGTCAGATTTATTGAGTGAGAAGGCACCCGTGCTGAATGGTAGTAGCCTTGCAGCAAGTATTTTTATGGCCCGGTGGAATTCAAGTTGCTCAACTGAAAACAGAAATACAGAGAAACTGAAATGGTTTCTCTGCCAGGCTCGGTGATTTATCTTGTAGGTATGAAAGTGGTGTATTCATATGCTTAAATAAACAGGCCAACATATTGTGGTTATTAGCTACGCCGTGTTTATTATGTACAGCATAACGGCTGCCACATTTACCACTGTATTTGTTACCAGAATCAGAGCCACATGAATTATATATTACAGAAGTCAGACAGATTCATGTAGTGATGCGTATTAAAAATGATCTGAGAAAGCAGTTTTTAAAATTAAACATATAGAAAAATACATGCATTTAAACAGAAACTCTCATAAGGCCTCTTTTATTGGCACTGCATCAAGTTCAGTCCTGATTCTGGGAATGTTGCGCAAGACTTCGCACACGTCATAAAAATTAACGCCAAGGTTAAAGTTTTACTTGCAAACATTTCACAATGAAGGATGGGCAAAAAAAAAAGTTCTCCCCCTGATTATTGATTTGGCACGCGCCGTCACCAAATAGCTTGGGAGTCGATAAAGCCAATTTCAATCACAACATCGGAGCTGCAAAGGTCACACAAAGTGATGCACGTCCTGAAGGCTTGTAATGAGCAGTGAAGTCACGCAGAAAGCCTGAACCGGGTGAGAGTGGAACGATGTGTTACTTCATTTTATTAACTGAGAGGTTTTGCAGCCAAAGCAGTCACTGAGGGTGAAGTCTGTGACTTTGGAGAAAGATTGTTGATATTTAGCTTGTTGGGACATTCAGATATTTAGCATTTGTCAGATTTACCGTCCTCCTCCCTTTCTCCCTGACCTGTGCACGAGTGTGAACACGCACGAGCATGAATGTGCACAAGATAAGCCAGAATGGTGCTTAGTCACTTTATTTCCCATTTATCGAGCCAGGGCAGTGTATAAATGAACATTAGATTCAGATGTGACACACTGAGAGAATATTTTCTGAATTAAAAAAACAAGAAAAAAACGCTACACACATAAGCACATACTCCACCTTTAAGCCACACTTCTGTTGATAACAAATCCCTAGAATTATGCTCTAGGAACTGGGCTTTGCTTGTCCTACTTTCTTTTATAAAAACAATGTACAAAATAGCAACAGATTTTACACATCACACTATAAATGATCTTTGCGAACAACATATCTTCCTGCTGATTACAATAAGCACTGCTAATATTACACTTACAAATATGATAATTACGATGATTTGTCCAGGATGAACGTCTTGTGCCTGTGTATGAAGCAAACAGTTCATTTCAGGGTTTTTCAGATATTCGGTTATGACAAAGTTTCTAACGCGCGTGAAGCATTCAGCCTCACTGATGTCAGGCAGTTTAATCTTCGTCTCATTTAAGATTTTCAGCCATCTGCTGTCGCAGCAGTTGAAACGATTCCCGCTAATGTACATAACGGTGAGGTGTGCAGACAAAGCCTGAATCAAAGAGTGATTTAAAGTCATCAACACATTATTTCTTATGTCAACTTCTCTCAGGGGAGAGCAAATTAAACTGCTGGGTATCACGTCTAGATGGTTGTTTGATATGTTCAGCTGCGTTAATGCCGGCAAACAGGGTAAAGACAGATGAGAGCTGGTCATGTTTATCTCACTGATTATCAGGGACTGAAGACTTGTTTGCGCTCCTTCCAGTGCCCCCTCATGCATCACCATATGCAAATTGTTTGCGAGGTTCAGGGAAACCAAAGAGGTTCTCAGAAATGCGTTTGGCTCAAGTGCTTTTATGCTGTTTTCTTTAAGATTGAGGTGCTTAAGGGTCCTTAGCTGCCCCAATGCGACACAGGAGGTGTTGACATATGTCTGCTGTGTTGATTGAGAGCTTCTCAAACGGTCGATGGACGCGCAAGGCTGCACTGAATTGTCTTCTAAATTTAATGTTTCTATTTGCGTGAGCGCATTGAGAAAGAGAGGGGAAATATACACAAGTCCGTTGCTTTGCAGGTCAATGTGCTTTAAGGAGGGAAAGAAAAGCTGGCGAACATGTCCTACGTCACTGTAGTTCCTAATGTCCCAGAAGATGTTTTGCAGACAGTTGTAGCTGATATTGAGTGTTTCCAAAGATGAGAGGAGGCTCAAAGTCTCAAGAGGGAAAGACGTGAAGTGGTTATAGCTCAGGTCAATGTAGATGAGTGGCATTAGCCTCCAGTTTGAGTGTAGGTTATTTTTTGTGACTATTTTCTTTCTTGTGATCTCATTATAAAGTGAATTGGCCTCTGACACCATCGTGGCCTCTGAATTCAAAGCACCAATCATATTATCCTGTAAATAAAGATACCGCAGACGATTCATTTTCGGAACAATTGGGAAGTAAAGCAGTTTGTTGTAGCTTAGATCAAGAACTTCCAGCCTGTACATCTGGTCGTACTGACGCGTAACAAAGAACTCCACAGAATTTCTGCTGAGATTTAGATATTTAACTTGATGTAACTTGAAATCACAGATGTGTGCGAGGTTGTTTTTGGCCAGGTTTAGCGTCTCTAAGTGAATCAGTGGTTCAAATGTCCCCTGTTCTATCTCTGATATCAGATTGTCATCAATAGTAATGGTCCTCAGACCTTTACTCTCTCTGAACAAGTCGTGTGAAAGTCGTTTTAAAGCATTACCGCTCATTTTAAGTTGATCAAGGGACGACTTGTTTCTAAGGTACAGCTCCACGGCATCATCACTCAAACCGTTCATTGAAATGTCCAAAGTCGTCAGCCGGCTGAGGGATTGGAGGGCTTTGCTGTTGCTGCCAAGGTTGTTGTTCAGTCCATTTCTGGACAAATTCAACTGCTCAAGCCGAGCCAGGTTTTCAAAAGCCCCCTCGGAGATGAAATCCAGCTGGTTGCTGCTCAGGTCCAGCTGCTCCAAGTATGGCAAGGCAAGTGTGTGTAACTGTCTGATGAGGTTATTGGACAAGTCTAGTCTTCTAAGCCTTACATCCAAATCCAGAGGGACAGAGGAGAGGTTCTGGTTGTTCCAGGACTGCTCCTTAAAAAATGAAAGGAACATTAATCATAATCAAAGAGAGAACAATGGAGACCAAAATTAAACAACTTTAGCAGTTTTTAAAGTCTGGAAACTTTGTAGACTTAGAAAAAAACAAAACAAAGCAAAAGTACGTTGCAATGCATTTAAATAGTTCATATTTAACCTACCTGTGGAGCATTATGTGTCAGTCCGGTTATGTAAAGGTCATGGCTCAGTGACCAGAGTAACAGGAGATTAGAGAACATATGTCTGACCATTCTCCCCCTGCTGCTGCTTCTGCTGCTGCTAAACTGTACCACTGCTGCTGTCACAGCTCATATACACACTCACACACCCTCTTATAGACATGCTTCATAAAAAAAAAAAAAAAAACGAGGGGGGAGAGAGAAAACAGCTGTGGACACCAGATAGGCACTGTGGATACTATATTTAGACAATAAAGACACAACCAGTGATATGTCACCTTTTTATCAAGCTTCACAAAATCTATAAACAATGACATTCTACCTTTGAGAAAAAAAAAATACACAAAGAAAGTCATATTTCTATGTTTAATGTAATAAGTCACAGAGATAAATGCATGTTGAATTAGCTTTGAATTGAAATAGCATTAGGGAATTTGTTGTGCCAAAGCATAAAATCCCTCTTGCAACAACTTTGACTTTACACTCAAGCATTTACAGCGCTGTGGAGTTTCGTGCCAACCAGGAAAACACCTCCTGAGCGATATAAATTTATACATGTGTTTGTTCCTGACATAGTCTTTGGAAAAACGGAAACCGGTCTAAAATAGACGGGAGGAACAAATAAGCTGTGTAGGTGGAGCAGGAGGGAAGCCCCCGGCAAGGTATAAAGAGACATGCGAAAATAGACCGATGAAAGGAGGTGGTGGCAAACAAAAACAATAGGCACGTGCAGGAGAGCCACCTGAATGATACGCTGAATGGATTAAAGCTAACGGATTCCAAAAAAAAAAAAAAAGAAGACAGATGATGGACACGGACAGTTCATTTAAAAAGTTCATTATGTATTTTCTTGAGATTAATAACATGCTCCGGCACTTTTCCTGCTGCTGTCACTCGGGTCCTTTATCAGCATCCTCTCACACAGCTCAGTGTCAGTTTCCAGCTTCCTGCAACATTGAACTGCGTGTTTATCTTCCTCGTGCTGTCTCGTTACAGTCGTAGCTGTATGACACCAAAAAAGGTCGACTCCGGGTCTGTAGAGATCTGAGCTGCCGGCCTGTCTGGGATCACCAGCTCCAGCTCATCACCTCGAAGCAAATGCACCGTGCCTGTGACAGAGGATACACTCATGAGGGACAAACTGAAGGAAAAAACAAGCACCTTAAGCCGTTCAGTGACCTGCATTTGAACGTTTCTTTTGTGCAGCTGTGCAGGTTAAATAACTGTTTTACATTTTTGGAAACATGCTTTTTTTTTTTCTTTCTTGCTGAGAAACCGCTCTCATGTCTGTTTGGCAGTTACGAAGGCACAACTTTTCTTAGCACAGAGAGTGGAAACAGCTATTCAGCGTCTGTCCAAAGGCAGTAAAAGCCAAGCAGCCGGCAGCGCTCCCTCACTGACCTGAACTATAACATGTATTGCCATGAGTTTCATCAGGCATCTCTCGCAGGCAGCGCAACAGCTCTGTTGATCCCGTCCCTGTTTCAGAGGAACCCCAGCTTCGTATGATGTGACCCATAACTGTGCTTGGACTCTCGAACAAAACCTGTGAATCAGGCAGAACATTAGCTGAATAGTTGGAACAAATCATATGCGATATCAACTTAGTTCTGCTTGACTTAGAGTGACACAATACTTGTCCAAACACCAAGTAATAACCGTCTTCTTGGACAACAATTCTGTTTTCCTTTTGTGAAATTGTACTTCCTTGCTGTGCAGAAACAGTCCAAGGGATCACTGTTATATTTCCTATGGGAAAAGCCAAGATACACTTATTGAAAATAATGGCAGACGTTGCAATGTTAAAGCCAAAGACTTGAATTTAGTTTTACCTCTAATGTCTGGCTGTTTGTTAGTGTTAGCCCGTAACTGCAGAAATGATGTTGGAACTGGCAAGAGAGGGAAATAAACATAATACTTTAATTTTATTAACGTAGCATATACTGTTTATGGTTTCACTACCAGATTAGAGCGTAACTAATGGACGCATTTTCGGTTCTCAGCTCCAACCCACCTCTGCAGCTGTTCTGTTCCCTTTTTACTCTCCTAGAAGATATCTTCAGAGAACTCTGAGCTTTTTGGAAAACACTTGGCTTAATGTCCTAGGAGAAAACAAAGCATTAAGATAAAATTTATTATTGCAGCGCTATCTGAACACTCACTAATGGCATAAATCTCAGTAGTACAATGTCCAAGATGACTCCATCCTGCATAATCAGTGACATACCTCCCTTGTTTTAGACATCTTGGCCACTTTCCCATTGACTCCCTCAGAACGTGGTTGATTTAATTGTAGCATTATGTCCCCTTGGAGTTTGCGAAAATCATTTTCTAGAACACTGGCTCTGTGTACCAGGAAAAGGCTGAGACAAAACATAAATGCCGTTAGTGATAATAAAGCAGTATGGAGCATAGTGAGACCAGCAGGCTGGATGTCCCTATGTTACTCAAACGGGTGAGGTCACACATCAGTAAACTCCGGAAACCTAAACGTTGAGTTTCAAAATTAGTTTCTAAATGAGGAACTATCTTCTTTCTGCCTCTCAAGATGGAACTCATTTAGACTTCATGAAAATTACAGCCAAGTTTGCAGTGTATTGTGAAACTCACAGTCGGAGTAAAAGCCACATTTTAATAAAGACAAAGACCTCACTCACAGAACATCATTTGTTCTTGTCAGTACTCGTGCCAGCTTCGTCGAATATGAAAGGGAAGTTTTAACCTTTTAAATTAATTCCACCAGCTGCACAAACACAAAAGACAGACAAATGCGTTTAGACAGAAAATGAAACATTTTAATCCATCAACCAACTCCATTTACAAAAGTATATCCCATTTTATATACAGTATGTACAGACATGTATTAACAACTATCGTTTTTCTACATGGATTCATTCATAAGGTAACTAAACAATAGCACTGTAACAAAACATATCACTGATATTCTGCAGGGATGCTGTAGTGCAAATGTGCGCAAAATATATAGTGCTGTTGCTCTGTGAATACCTTATAACTCCAGTTTTAATGGATTTTGGTTAGCGTTACATAGATAACTTTATACTTGCTTTGAACATTTATATAAACTTTTACTGATTTTTATAACCCAGGGACATATGGAGCTTTGAACCACCTACTTAATAACTGTTAACATAATCAAATTAATCCAACAGGCCAAATAAACAAACTGCAAATAAAACATTTCTAATAGCTGGTGTTTTTGGAGATACAAGATTATCATTCAACAGCACTTTAAAGTATGCAATTACTAAGTATCTGTCAGCACAGTGTCCTTCCTCGTTATAAAGAGAGATGCTGTCTGTGTTGACACAAATGGTGACTATAAATAGAAACTTTTGTACGATGAGGACGTTTGGTTCATCAGAAGGCTCATCTCTCTGCACGGAATCAATGTGGAGGGAAGCATAGCAGTCTTTGTTGTCCTTTTTAATACAGACATGTGTAAGTGGACAAAAGTCACCCTGGGGCTTCCTCGACTTTAACAAGCCCGAGGATTTAAGTTTCCTCGACAAGAAAGGGGGGCAAGACATGGGCGGCAAGTTGTTCCTAATCGGCGGATCGATCCTACATCAGGCAGGACGGAAGGACAGCATGACTCTGGACTAATGCGACTGTACGGAGCAACGTCTTTTCTGTCATGCAGAGGGCACGAGGTTGTGTAGTTATCCGTTCTGTCCAGCAGATGGAGCCTCTCCAAGCCTGACGCTTCCCAGGAAGGTGGTGTGGTTGGTCATGTTGATGAGTGTGTACTCGTGGGCTATGCGTATGGAGATCTTCTGGCCGGCGCGCAGCGGGCTCACCCCGGCCGTGTAGCAGGTGTTGAACTTGCGCTGGCCCGTCTCGATGCTGCAAGTGCAGCGGAGGAACGGGTTGGAGTCCACCATCACATCATAGCTGGCAATGTCAGTGAAGTTGAGGTAGTACACCTAGTGGAGAGGGGACATAAAATTCACAAAAGACTGAGAGGGGTAGTCAAAACAAGTCCACATGATAATTTAGGAGCTTATTTAAAGCCGAAACAGCTGCAATATCAGAGTAGCCAACAAGGGTATGAGTTATAGAGCCTCACATTTAGCCACGAGGGAGGGGAAAGAAATATGTCTTATAATATAACTCAGACATTTATGGATAAACAAAGCAAGCACATTTAAGCTTAACTGAAGAACAACTGGCAGTTCTTTTGACTTTGAACTGTAAATTGAAAGAGTTACGTCAAGGACCGTACTCACTTCTACCTGACTATATATGAAGTAGACACCATCCAACAGCACCTCTAGCTGTCCAGTGCGAGAGTGCATTTTGAACACGCGGTGATGGATGGACACCATCTTCCAGTTCTTAAGGACGCCTTGAGACAGATCTAAACATGTCACAACAAACACACAAGAGGCAAGCGGTCAACATAAACAGCTTTCAGCGGTTCTTAACGACAACCAGAGCTCAGCACTGACGCAAAATATAAACCTGCTAATGATGCTTACACTCCTTTCAGACTGACAAAACCCGATGCGGGATAATATGAATCTGCTAGCATGCGAGGCTTCTGCTCCTGAGGTAACACGGGTCTGACTTACAACCTAAGCTTATAACTGTAAACTAATCATATAATATTACTTTAAATAAACTATAATCCTAAGCAATGTAATAGTAAACACTGGCAATAACATTTAGACTACATGGAAATCTTTGGTTTTGTAAGTGATTCCTTTAACTTTCCATGAAGGCGACCAAGTAAAGCATAGAATTTCTTACAATTGACCAAATCTGGCATGTTGAAACTCTAGTGTAAACAGCAACTGCATGTCAACAATCTCTCGTGTTTATATTTATTCTCCTGTAATTCTGAGGTTTAGCAGGCATGTCTATTAGTGCAGTTCCAGACCTGGGTGTTTGACCACGGGCATTGGCAGGGATTATGCGCGCTTATTGTTTTGTGTCCAACACGGTGGCGTAACTACAACTAAACGTGGACAGAAAAACCCACCTTCTCTCACTTGGATGGTTGTTTCCTGCCCTTGCAAATGAACCACTGCAGGCTGGAAGGAAAAGATATCGGGTGATTAATTTGAATTCACGAAAAAGAAGAGAGGAGAACAGCTGTTGTGGGATAAAAATTACGTTTTAAACGTGACATACTCGTACCTGGAATTCCTTTGTTTTGGTCCTGTCGGCAACTCCTACAACAATAAGACAGAGAGAAGGAGAGAGAGAGAGACATGATGAATTTCTGGCCTTCAACACTGCTGAGGAACAAAGGGGGAGATGATTATTAAAACAAAACAAACACTGACATAGTTTAAAGATGGATCATTGCTATTCCGCACAATGTTTGACATCCTGCATCAGAAAGTCTCACTGTGCAGGCAATGAGTTAATGGATTTTGAGAACTTGAGCCCCCACTAGAGTGGGAAAGTATCTACATGCAGGAAAATAGTGTAATCTCAGAGAAAATCTCTCCGCTCATTTTCAAGTTCTCAGGCTCGACTTTCAGTTATCTCAGCGGATTCTATTTTAGGTTTTATACCTGCCGGACCTTGAGCGCCCGGTGGTCCCTGTGGCCCAGGGGGTCCAGGGGGTCCCGCAGGCCCCACGACATTGCTTCCTGGAATACCGGGGATTCCAGGGATGCCCGGTGGCCCCTGTGGACCTGGGGGACCTGGGGGACCAGGGGGCCCCGGCACAGACCTTTTTTTCCCTGTACAGAGAGAAAGCAAAAACGGTTGACGATGAAGCCAATTTTAACTATATAGAGCCAAAAAACACAACTTTGCCTCGGAGGCATTTACAGCCCGTACGGTATCAGCTCAGATTGAAAATTCCACTATGAAGGAAGGCAAGAATAATCTCAGAATTCTTCCTTTAACCACTGACAGCTTGTCATCCAATTCAAGCCAAGATGGTTATTAGAATTTGGATGGCATCTCAAGCACACTTTGAGAAACAGGCAGCAGGTAGCGGTCTAATCAATGACTGAGATGAATGAAATTTAAGCTGAACTTTGTAATACCTTTTTTCCTGTCTTTCCTTTTCTCCTTTCCAGTCGATTCTGTAAGAAACAAAAACAGTGTGATTAAGCTTGAAATGATCTCTTGAGCAATTATCATCTCCGATAACATCTCAAGTATCCAGCTCATTCCGAGTAGGTATCCTAAATGGGCTAAAATAACAGATTCAGATGTTGTGCGCTGAACACTGGAGTGGAGGTATGTCAGTCTGTGGTATCTTGTAGTGTAGTAATTTGTAAGTGTGGTTTCACCTCCTCTGTATGAACAAGTGCCTTAAGCATTCACAGGCAGTGGAACTGGAGAAGATCATTAGAGAGATACTTTATCCTGCCAAAATCCTTTTCTTTGAATTAAGCCCAGATGGAGAATGCAGATGAAAGTGTGTGTGTTTTTGTGTGTGTGTGTGTGTGTGTGTGTGTGTATCTCCCCTTTACAACCATGTGTATGGGTGTGCGTGCATGGATGTTGGTGGGGCATCTATGTCAGTGCTTGAAAGACAAAATGCACTCAGTGTGCATCTGTGTATGTGTGCTCTGTGCGCAGCTGAAGAATCCTTTTCAAAAAGCCGTCTCGCTTGCTCTTGTGTTTACCATGTCATTATAACTACAAAGGCCATTTAACCTTAAAACCTCACAGTTTGAGTCCCCCTCAAACATATGGCCAGTGTTTCTCTTCTGGCTAAATGACTGGATGCATCCGCATAGATTTCTCTTAACGAGCAGCCCTATCTGGAATCTGGTGCCCGTTAGGAGTGCCGAGAACGCACACACACATACGCACACACACATGTGCAAGCGCAGGACGGACACACACACACACACACACACATACACACAGAAAAGCACACATCTAAGGCTGAGATTACAAAAGCCTTTGTCTGTGTGCTGAGAGCAGAGGAGAGACCTGGGAATGATTAGTGTTTAGAGGCTCGGGACTTTACTGATTTATGTAGAAAGTCTCAAAGGTGAGTTTTTTCTTCTAATTTAAACACAATCACTAAACTTCCCCCCAAGTATTCAGTGTCACGCCACAGACATTGGAATGCCTTGTGATCATGCTGCACTTGTTGCACTCAGACATGAAACTTCAAAGGCCTCGCTTTTTTTATTTGCATAGCTCGGATTCTAAACAAAAACTACAAAAGCAATTTCAGACATATTGGCCATATGGTTTTCTGCGGAGCTATTGATTAACATAAATCAATTCGATGGGATTAATGAAAGCCATCAAAGTCTCGGATGATTCTTAAAACGACTGCATGTCTTGCAAAGTGATTCTTTATATTGTCTCTCTTATATTCTGATGGTTAAGACCTCGTTGATAGCACAGTTGGACTCCAGAGTTTGTAACTGCTTTGCTGACAAGTACAAAAGATATTTAGGGACCCGATATTATTTTGAGACGGGGGGAAATCAACATGGCTTCGCTGTCTGTTTCAAATTGGTGAAACCCTCCCAAACTCCTTTTTGTCCCTGCTTGCTATCCAAGTAATAATTAATCCCATTCCATTAAATCTCTTGCTCTATAAACTCGGCAACATTATGCGGTGGAGCTGCTTTGTTAAGTAAGCACAAAGCAGTAAAAAATCAATTCCACAAAAAGTGAGAAACCATTAACAAACCGTTTTTTAAAAAAATTTAAGAGCTTTAACACCACCATAAGTCTGTTATTTATACAATACCAAATCCCCTCCAAACAAACAAAGGTTACAGAAACCATTGCTCAACAGCAGACCGCTGCCAAGCACATATGCTGAAAACAGACTAATGCAGGTGCACCAGAGAGCAATAGCTTTGTTTTTCTTGTGTGATGAATAATACTAAATTTGGAGTATGAGCTTGAAAAATATAGAAGAGTGAACCCAGGAGAGAGTAAAGCACCAGCTTACAGCTTCTCTAACTAGGTGTAAGGATAAAATAAATAATAGTAAATGATGACAAAGGCAAATAAAAAAAAACAAAAAAAGGCCCACACCTGTGTCTGGATCCTTGCCGGGACTCCTTTTCGCTCGCTGAGTTATGCCCCTGTTATCCTCTGTGGCATGGAAGTCGCTTTTTCTGTGCAGTAGCTTCTCCTGTTGGGACACAAAGAAAACATCATTAAGTATGGAAAATTGTGCGTACCACGGCTTCAAACCCAGGGACTCTGATGCGGAGACAGAGTATGTGCCGCGAATATTAACACCAGTCAGACCACCTCAGATGAAATATGTGTAGCGAACAAAAAGAAATGAATGATACAAGTTTTTGAGAGTGAAACCCATGTTACAAGTGGCCTTTCTATTCTTGAGGTATAGTGTTTGCACAGAGACAACTTGGGGCATTTGAAAAGATGTGAGACACTGTCAGCCAGCACATTCATTTGTGGCCAAGTCATTGTCTGTCCCATCGGGGCTGTAACCTATCCTGTAACCCAAGTCACTTTTGTCTGTGTTTCTGCCGTCTGAGACAGTCACCTGGACACGACTGCTCTAAAATTCACCTTTTTGTACAAAAGGAGGACATGAACTGTGGTTAATCTGAGAGCAGTACCCATTCATATGGCACCTGGTCCCAGCCCTATTCAGTGGTGGCATGAATAAGCTAAAATAATGTCAACGAAAAGGATCTGATCGGAGCTGCTCTGAGCTCATCTCTAAAAACAGGAAAAGCTCTGCTCCAGCGGAGGGGTGTTCCCATGGGCGAGTGAGTGGCGGGACAAACCGCACGTCTGTGTTCTTATGTGACCGATTCTGGTCGACCTACATTCACATGAACTCCGTAGGATGTGCTGACCTGACTGTAACACGCTCGAGACGTGACCGGCTCTGACAACACAGCGTTTCGTGCTAAGGACTCGAGAGTTTAAAACACAGATTGTTCTAAGTCGCCTTCTGTCAGAACAGCCAGTTTGTGATCACATTCTTGGAGGATTCCCAGAACCCGATAGACAAAGAAACCTGGCACTGGAAACACAACAAGACCACCCAAAGCCTTCTTTTCGTCGAGCCTCGCAATATATGAGATCGCTTTCGGTCACACTTTGGAGTGTCAGCATAAATAATGGTAAGCGTGCGAGGCATACAGGCTCTTGAGGACAACCAGACAACATGCATTGTGCTGGACATCTGCTCGCTGTTTCTATAACCGACTTCTCCAAAGCAGTGACACGTGCAGCACCTTAGCATGTATTAAAAGATAATAAAAAGCCATGCATCATTTGGCTTTCTCGCTGCTAGGACCGAACCAGACAAGCTTACCGACAGACCACTCTGACCTCTCTCTTTCCACAGGAGTCTATCCCAGTTGGGGCGCAAGATGATATATTCCCCGTTTCCATCTGTGACACTCAAGTAAACACAGTCATTAAACCCCGACGACAAGAAATCTCCTTCTCCCGAAAGCAGAGTGAACTCCAAGTGCCTCTTTGTGTGGTTTTCAGGCAGAGCCACTGAAAGACCATAAGACAAGAAAAGATATGTTTCGAGTTTCTGCTATACCTCATCTCAGATGTGGGACCCCCACCCCCCGGGGTGAGGGATGAGCTGTATCATGTCGAACACCCCCCGCCCGCTGTGTTGGGCAAGCTCAAAGTAGTTAAAGTCTACATGGCTGTCCAGCTGCCAGCCATGTCTGACCTTATGAGCACGGGAATTCCAGGCTGATGGAGGAGTATGTGTTGGAATGGTTTACCGACACACAGACCTCCAGATGTTCCTGCGAGCGGCAACGCTTGCTGTTCATTTGGTGCGCAGGTGCCTCCACATCTCCTCTCCAGCTGTTGGCATATAGGAGGGCTTTTACCTCTCAAAGGATTCTTGGTGTATGTTCAGGCATATGGCATTACACTTTCGTCTGTTCTGACAGCCAAACATGATTCAACAGCCAATTTCTGGCCCGAGATTAAGCTCCAGCAGAACGACAAAAGACAAACAATCAGTCTGCTAGGCTACTACCAAACTGGTGCAGCTGGCGTTCTAGACGGAGGCAACAAAGTGATGGTGTTTTTTTTTAGTACATTTTATAAAAAGTTCTTACATTATACGACGATGAGAAATGGTTTTGCGCCCTTGTTTGCTTCATTTCACTTCATTACAACATTTACAGCCTCCATACCCTTCAAAGGCACGCAGAGTTACAGTAAATCAGGATGACAACGTGTTGGTATGTATGCCAAGTGCCAACTATTGAGTAAACCATTCTTTTTCAGCACAAGGGGAAAAATGCTATTAATTAGAGGGCTTTCAAATCTTCAAAGCGTGGGGGTTGCTGTTGTACGCAGAAGACGCGATTCCCCGTTGCTTCGTGAGGATATGACTAAAATTCAGTCACCCCGGGGATGTGTAATTTTGGGATAACAAGACTTCTTTTTGTCTTATTAACACTTACTATTAAAACAGCTTGTATTCTTACCAATTTTAGCCCTCATACTACCGAAATTCCCTGACACTGAAAGCCTTTCAAAAATAAAAAGTATTTTTAAACATTCGGGGCTGACGGGGCTGTTGGAAGCTGACGTTCCTCCGCAAATACACGTGTTCTGGTTTCAGTGTCGTCTCTAAATCTTGGATCATCACTGAGAATTAGCCACTAAACTGTGGTTGAGAATGTGAGGTTAACAAAGTTGAGGAGGTGAAACTGAGGTCTGACGGCTGTGGTTGCAGACCGGGTGCCCGTCACTGCCGTACAGGCATTACTAACCTCAGTGGCATGCATACTCTTGAGAACTGATTGCTCATAATACTCCTGTGATTCACACTCCTGGATTCAACCGCGACAGCGTGTTTTCTTCTTAAATATCACACAGAAAAAGGAGTGTCCTTCCCTCAGCCAATATCAAGACGCTGCTCTTTGGAAGGCCATGTGTTTCAAACCATAACCCTTGGTAATTTAATAACTGTATGCATAGATTGTCATCTAAAAAAGCTGTGGAGCTCAACCTAAGGGAAATGTAGCCTGTCAGCAGCCAATCACATTTCAGATTGTTGCAACACTTGCTGGCAGAGTAATTCCTAGCTGAATGCTGTGAAAGCCTTGAGAATTTATTATTTTGGTAGATGTTTGTGACTCTGGACTTAATCTTTACTGGGCGTCTACGCCATCTGTCTGTCAAGACAATTTAAGCTTATATGGAAAAGTTTGCAGCCTCATATTGCTGATGTTTCTACCTCGTATGCGTTGCTCTTTTATGACATGTGCGTCTATGCTGATTAGTCCGCGATACGTAGGCTTGCTATAAGTGCACATATGATACTGTTGTTTTAGCTAATCAGGCACTGGTCACAATTAAAGTAGATGTGGGTGACAGCCCACCCGGGCGCCCCAGAGCTTGTATGCTGTTGAGGACTTTGTGTCCCATCAAACTGACTTTTTTAATAGCCGTTAACTAGACTCCAGATGTTTCAGCATCTGTTCTTTGTGAGACTTTGAAGGCAGACATCAGAGGAGAAAATTATTTCATATAATGGTTATAAGAAAATTGTTAGGCTCATGAATAAAACACTATCTGATCTAACACAATTAATTATTCCGCGGATTGACTTTTATTACGTTCCACTGGCTGACGTCAGGTGAACGAGGGTCACGCTGACGGAGGAGCGACACTTGCTCTTGGTTCGCCCCACATCACACTCGTACCGCACATTTTTAGAGCCACGCACACCTGGGAGTGGAGTTTTACTGTTGGGAACCGTGCGGATCTGCTGGGCAGCTGGGATTTACTGCCTTGCTCAAGGGCATACCAACTGTGACTGTTGAGGTGAAGCCTGTTTGTTCACTTCCCGCGCCCAGGATCATAAATGACCACATCATCTGCTCTCATTAAGAAGCAACTACAAGGATCTGAAAAAGTGTGAGGTATTAAGTGGTGCTTAATTTTTAACTGCATTCCAGAAATGAATGAATTACTCATACAAGGCTCTCGCTGGAATATTTCTGCCTTTTTTTTTTTTTCCCCTGATGCTTTGATTGTAAATTTTACATCTCCAAGGATCTAAAAATGCCAGGCTATACTAAAAAGCAACATAGTTTCCATTTTTGTACGACCATCTGAGAAAATGAAGATAGAATACAGTTTAATGCACAGAAAATGCCTCAGATAGGTTCATATTGCTTCAAACTTTTGCATCTTTGCCTTCTCTTGCCTTGCATCACCTCCCAACCCGAGCTACAAGCAGTTCGTCCTGTGTTCACAGACAGATTATGAAAAGTGATTACAGACTTGTAGTATTACTGCTTATACAGCCAAGATCCTTATCTGGGAGTCTTAGTCGCAATCACTTTCTTCAGATCGGGTATTTGCAAATGAAATCTGCAAATTTTCTGAACCAAAAAAAAAAAAAAAGTTGGTGACTAAAGGAGAACAAGACAAATATGCACCAAAAATGAACTGAAATGGGAGCAACTCTAGTAATTTAATACTAGTAGATTAAAACTTAATTTGCCAAAACATGTTTTTCCATGTTTGCCACATTATTATCTTCTTCTTTCCATGAGCACTTACAAAAGTTCTGATATTTACAGCCCAAAACAAACTTTTCATTTCGTTTTGGACTCAAATGAACCTCAATTGTTCCTCAACTCTTTCCATCTAGTTTGACTCAAGAAAGCCACGAAACAAGAGAATAATTCTCACAATTTCTTTTGGATGCGCTGTTTACTGAGGTTTGTCCGACACGGACCAGCCAGGCTGAAAACAATCCGAAAACACGCTAAATTGTGTGTACGAAGCTGTTTTCACATGACGAGAAACCACACCACTTGTCTTTTTCAAAACACCGCTCGACCACAGCGCAGAGTAAGTCCATGTGAGCAGAGGTCACACACGGATACGCCGCTATTACACGATGACAAAGCCTGCGCGTTTCACGTGTGCCATGTCAGTTGCACGCCTATGTGGTACGAATGTTTGTTCCCATGGCCCATTTTGCGTTTCCTTGTTTTTCAGGGCTCTTCATGTTCTGTTACACTTGTCTGTATACCTGCCCATCACATCGGATTTCACTGATGCTGCAGAGGGGCCTTTGATGAAGACTTGTGTGAAAAATCCAATAAACAATTTTTAGCTCTACAAAAGAGATTCTTCAAAGGACATGCCTGAAAAGCTAACAAGTGCGGCTGCTGCGTCTAAATGCCACATGCTCCTGTTTCTCCAACTATGTAAACTGTGGGATGTGTAATCAGAGTTGTTTAATGCAGACATCTGGCAAGGACAGCATCACAGCGCTGTTAAATATTTACAGCTGGGCCACAGTCTTTCACCTCATGAAGCGTCACCATCTGGGTTGAATACCAGGGCCCATCTCACTCGGCTTGAACCGGGGAAACCGCTACTCCCTAAAATAAGCTTAGCAGAGGACACGCCGAGGACTAAATGAATAGTCTGAGCCCGTGAGGGGAAAATGTTGCAGAGCAAATCCCAACACGAGCGATGGATCTCATTAGCGTTTCCTACTGAGGAATAAACGCGTCCCGGATAACTCGCATTCCTCCGAGTGACTATCAAGTTTGAGCACAGCCGAGTGTCCAGCCAATGCCCCACACAGAGGATCATTTTCTCTGCGAAAAAAAAGGGGGGTTACACAACCGGTGACATATGAGCTAATTGAGCGAGCGATGCAAAAGTCGAGAGGTACACTCGGCCCTTTTGTGCTGATGAAATTAGGGAGTGTGTGCTGGTGCTGGCGGAGGAGAGGGGGGCTGCAGCCAAAGCCACAGACAACACAATGAACGTTCAATCAGCCCGCCGCCAGCAAAGAAAAACACATGTGAGACGAGGCTGGCTCCGCTCCAAGTACCAACTGCCCCATCTAAGTCCTGATGAATTTACATCAGCCCTTGGGCTTTGCACCTGCTGGTGATCCAGTTAATTTTCCGTCCACCTGCTCCAGCTCCATTGACTGACCCGGTTCCAGCTGGGCAGGCTGCCTAAAGTTTGGAGCATCAACCTCTGTCTGCTTAAGGAAAGGGAGAAGCTCTGGAAACAAGACAAATTGAGTTAAATGTGGTTTGATTATTTAAGAAAAAAGAGAGAAATACATGACCCAACTGATAGATGTTGCAGTTTCTGGTTTCATGAGGGCAACTTTAAAAAAAAAACTACATTTGGACTCCTTCCTTGAGATGCCACCCCGGGTGTGTTTACCTGAACAGGAGACTTTGGCCAGGTGACAGATGTGAAGCCTACACCTTCCCCTTCCTGCGCATCCGTGTCCAAGAGAATCACGCACACAGGAGCAGGTATTTTGTGAGGGAAAACTGAGCTGACAGAAACTTCGTGACAGGCTACTGTAAAAGAAGTTGCCCAGAAACATGCCATAACAGAGCGCAGACAACAAAACCTGACACCGGAGGACACACTGAGCGGAGGTGAATGAGCGGAGAGGAATGTTAAAGAAGCTCCTGTGGCATATCATTAATTATTTTATACAGCCTCTCTATTTCTCTGTCTCTCTCTCTCTCTCTTTTTTTTTTTTTTTAATTACCTCTTGGGGATCTGCGCTGCGGCTGCTGCCGGGGTCCGGTCGCGGGTGTCCGGGCGAGAGGAGCACCGCCGCCGCCGCCGCCACCGGGTCAGCCAGGTCACTCCCCGAGAGAGGCAGCATAGAGTCCCGCTTCTGGTGGATAATTTCCCGTTTGACTTCGGAGCGCAGATCCAAATAGCAGACGAGGGTGACCGCGTGTAGGGACAGCGACAGCAGGAATAATCCCAGGAAGACAACACTGCTGCTGCTGCTGCTGCTGCCGCTCCGACTCCTGCACTTCTTGCTACACGTGCAGGGAGCCGCTCCGGGCATCACTTTGTCCGGGAAATCCTCCGCGGATGAACCATCGCAGGCCATTCTGGGACGCAGGGCGACTCATAGGCTCCTTACCTCGGCATAATCGGCTCGCCCGTGTGTGTGCTCGGGCCGCGGCTATTCATTGACGTGCAGACTCATAGGTGCAGCAAAGCAGCAGGTCGGTGCAAAAACTTCTCCGAGTATCTGTAGTAACAATGGAGACCCGCCCACCTCCTCGATGATTGGTCCGGGACAATTACTAGAGGTTCTTTTTTTTTTTATGCTTGGTGGGGGGGTGGAGTGGAGTGGAGGGGGGGGGATCCAGGTAGGAGTCGAGCGCCACCCCATGGTCCAATCCGGCTACTGCAACACCTGTGCAAGGGTGATGATGTGAGACTATCCACCCCCTCCTCCTTCTCTCTCCCCTGTTTTGTTGCTCAGTGTTGTGTGATTATTACTCAGCACTTTGAGGCAGGAAAAAACACATTTCGTGACCCCGATTCTGTGATTTATTCCCCCCTCGTTCTGTGAGTGTGAACCGGGGCAGGGGAGGAAGGAGGAGGTGGTCGCTGATGTAATGCATATTGTTTATGCATGCGTTTTATGTGTTTTAGGGGTTTGGACATGCTATTTTTCTCTGGTGGACTTTGTTTGGCGCTTTGTTTTGTTCTGTGGGTGGCACATGGGCGGTGGCACATGGAGTGGTGGTCCTGTGCGAAGAGCCGATTCAAAAGCCTGGTAAATATTGCCCCGTATTGTTATTGAGAAAGGGCAAGCGGTTGATGACTACGACATATCATCAAAGAGTGGAAAAGTATTACAAATTATGTTCTTAAACAGACTACAAATTGCATAATTATATTTAATTGCGTTTGGACTCTGTCGGGCTGAACAGCATGATAGCCGGCCTGGAAGAGAGTCAGTGTCACGGTGAGGTCAGCAACACTTTGTGTACAACACCATCAAATACTCTAAACAAGTGTCACTCAGCCGGACTCGGGGAATAGTTTTACATTTATGTTACCAAAATGCCAGCTGAGGACAATGCTTTAAGAAGATTGAATGTGGCTTTGCGGTTTCCACATTTTTCAGAACCCAAAGCCGACCTTAGTTCTTTTCAGATGTAGACACTTTGATCTCTTTAAGCAAGGAACCAGAGGTAGCCCGTGGACCGGTCCGTCCTTGAACCTCCGAATGATGAAACCAGTGCGCTAAGCGGGGCTGAAACTCGGGCGGGGTTGATGGATCACCATCTTTGATTAGTTTTCGGGCAAGTGCCACAAAACATCTGTCTTGATTTCATTGGTCACAAGACCTGACGTTTGCGTGAGTCCGACCGACACAGGGGCGCACTCTCTCACGACGCCAGTTCAGACTTGACAGACGCTGAGTGATCGCGAAAGGAAAAGGAAAGTAATGGAGAAGAATGGGTTTTGGAGATCAGAAAATGGTATTTCATCACCGTGAAATATTTTTATACATGAGGGTGATTACTAAGCTGAGATCCCATGACTGTGTTTCCTTTGCTCGATTCTGTTCCTGCTGCCACTGTTTCACATTTTATTTTTCCTCAGTGCAAACTGTCTCATCTGGAGGAAAAAAGTGATTCTAGGCAGCTGCCACTGAAGGGCAGCATTGCCAAGCCATAAATCAATAACACTGCATTCCAGTGTCCTGTTGAACTTGAACCTAAAGCATGAACTGGCTTCATCTTGGTTACATAATGAATTTTAAACATATCTTGTATTTGATATGAATAGCTGTGTGTATACGGTAGCCTTATATAGCTACTCTGTTTGCTATTGATCTCAATTTAAGCATCCGCCTCCCTTCTCTCCTGGGAAGTCATTTCTCCATTGTTAGTATATAAGATAGTGAAATCGAAGGGAGAAAGACAGTCAAAGTAACCCTCACTGGGCCTGTGACTGAGGGCTCAGCCTAAGCATGTTTGCTACGCTTCTCATCCAAGCAGCAGCCACAATGACTTTGAGAGGCAGATGATTCTGGACTCGAATAGTTAAGCGTATGCATTTCCCATAATTTCAGCCAAGTTGCTATATTTTAAAATACGTTTTTATAGCATATATATGAGGAACATGCTGTAAGATATTTATTCCATCACATATTTTTAAATCGAATTTCTTGAATTATTATTTGTTTTGGGGGGAAAGAGGAGGTCAGACAGCCTCGAACTAAAGGTCAAACTCCACACAATGAGTCAATCTGAGTCTCAGACGACACAACTCCCCCATTACAGCCTGTGACAATTGAAACTAGTTTAGTCGTGATTGGGGTTTTTTTGGCATTGAAAAGAGCAGGAATAATTCTTATAACGTCCCCCGGGCTCCAATGCGGCATTCATAAATGGTGTGCCACTCTATCCTCTCTGAGCTTATAACAAGATTTAGAGGCTTTCCCTGCCAGATGATAGAGTTTTGCAGGCAGGAATAGGCGCTCTTATATTTTACCATGGAGAGTGGAGTGGTGGGCTGAGGCTCGCAGCTTCAAGAAGCTGCTGCGAGGACGACGGCGGCTCGGTCTCGGCTGAAGGGTTGCTATCTGTAAATTCCTCCTTTTCTCGCAGCCATTGATAAGAGAGCACGAATTAAAATCGACTTTCAATTGCCATTATAAGCAATCGCATTTGAGCTAAAGTGATTCATTGCTAATAGAATAACGCCATTACATATTACTGCAAATTGTTTCGGACCTCTCCACCCCATACATTACCTTCTCAGGACGGAGTCATTGTTTCTACATATTGAATCGCAGGAGGTGTGACCTTGGCTAATTGATATGCTGTGGCATTTGATTTCCTATGTATAAATCTCCTGTAAATTGGACCATGTCTGCCATTTCCGCGAACAATGATTAATTCACTCTCATTGCGGGTGTCTATCTTAAGAGTCCTTATCAAGATCGGTGAGCTCTCGCTCCCTCCCTGCTTGTCTTTTTGAACTGTGCTGCTTTTGTTCCCTCACCTTGCTCTCTCTGCTTCGTTCTGTCGGCTGACTGCTGTGTGCAACTCAGAATGGAGTCAGTGTGGGTAAACCTAATTGATTTTTTTTTTCATTCCACAGAATTGGTGCAGTTTAGTGGCCTTTTTTTTTTTAGCATGCAAAGGGTTGTTTTGTGTGTTTTCTCAAGACAACCACATTCAGGGGAATCAAGAAACAATAGTATTGTAGAACTGCACTTATTCATTAACACGCTTTGTATTTGTAGTATTTTGGGGGTTTATTTTGTCTTTGTTAAATAGGAACAGAGCACATAAATGTAGGAAAAAGGGACCACTGGTCAGAAATAAAATGGGAATATTTAGTTGTGATTGTTTTAATAATAGTAGTAATAAATATCTATCAGCAAGTAGCCTTTCCTTAAGAAAAAGTACCGATATTACAGCGTAAACAAAACGCTTGCCTTTTAAAGTAAAAGTAATTCTACAAATCTATCAATTTGGGTTGCATTTAAGTGAGATGGAACCAATTTTAATAGTGTTATATACTGTTATATAGATTCATTTATAAGCAGCGCATCATACTTGAAGTACAATAATTCAGTTTAAAATAGAAAATAAAATGGCTTGAAATGGTACATTGAAGTGAAGCAAATACTTATTTAAATAGGTATTTTAATTTGTTTATTTCAACAGTCATATAAGCTGTAAACACAACACTGACACATTCCTACATTATAGCGTGAACTTGTTTGCATTCAGTTGCCAAATCAGATGTCCAACCGACACAGAGCAACATTAGTTCATTTGGAGTCGTGTTTCCTTCCAGCTGATGAATTTCCAAGTCCAGCTATTTTCCCTTTAGCTCTATTTTTGGTCTCCTGGTGGAACTATTTGGTTCATTAGCTGCTGAACGCTTCACCAGCAAGTCTTTAACTAAAAAGCACTGTAATGCTGCCTGCCTGCTCTATTTTTAGCAGAAAGACAGTAAATTTGTGAGCCATAAACCAAAACAATGTGCTAAAAGGCACTAAAGGGAAACTGCACTCATATAAAAATACTATTAGTGCAGCTTTAAGGATAGTATTTGACTAAATGCACTTAGTTACATAGGTAGCTCCTCTTTCTTTGCTCTCAAAGACTGCGTGATCACAAAGTGGAATCATTAAATAGTCTACCAGTGACAGAAAAGATTCACATTTTACCGTCGTTACATAAAGTATATGCGTACTTTCTTGAAAGACTTTGTGCCTAAAAGCAGCAGTTCCCTTTGCCAAGTCTTCACAGTTTGAGGCAAGATATTAAACAGTGATATTTTGCTGAAAAAGCTGTAATTTCTTGTCTTGCCTAAAGCTCAACAGTACTCCTCTGTGAGGAACCCTGTCTGTTACACTGCAGCCCCATCAGCAGAGACACGGCTCTGTTATTGTATATATTAATAAAAGGCAGAGGACATGTAAGACGTACAGCACGCTCACATGACACGAAGTGAAAATCTGAGAATATCCCGGTGGAGTACAACCCTGCTGATGATGGTCACGAATCACTGCACAGATATCAGGAGAAACTGCAAGCCTTAACACCACTGTTCACTTGCTACCATTTAATTACAATAAAATGAAGTGTTAAATAAGCATTGCTGGGAAGCTAAGAGGTATTAATTTAAGTTTACTACGGACCTAAAGAGAATAATCATCCCAATCACGCTTAAATACCTACAGAAGTCATGAAAATGTTGTTAAATTGGTGTTCTGAATCATTTGGAACGCGTGTAATTTTCAAATATTTAGACACCTCAGGTCACAGGAAAAGTGCCACTTACATGGGGCAGATTAAGCTATTTATTAAAACCGTTTGAAATTACTTTTTTTGGGATTCATTAATATGTCTTGGTGTAGACTGCTGAATACCAAGCAAACCCAAATTGACATGCTTGTGGTTCCTGCACAAAGCACGCGCTGCTCCGCTGACTTGAGTCGAGCGTGGATGTACAGATTTAGGATAACAATCAATCTTGAGTGTCTTTTCCAGCTGAAGCGGCTGAATTTCTAGACAAACTACAGAGTGAAATTGTTGCACCTCTTTCAGGAATCAGTTACACAAGGTTTGTTCATTTTGGGTTGCGAGAGATGAAGTATACATGTAAAGAGCACATTTACCCATGTTATTTGATCTGGTAATTATATGACTACTTTGATAAAAACACATGAATGCTG